TGCCAGTGTATTCACTGTGGACACAACAAATTAATTACCTGTCAAACTTGAGGAGATGGGGGAAACTGTTTTTGGTGTTTTTGAGATTGCAAAATATAATGCCGTTAGATGATGACAAAAACCTTAAATAATGAGATGTCAATGATCGGACATCAATAATGTTACATTCTAGTATTTTCCCAAAGTATGACTCCTTGAACGATTGTTTTGGTTGATTCGTTGGTTGGTTGGCATGATGTTTGGTGAGCTGGCTGGTTGAAAGTCATTCAGAATATGTAGCATACATTTACACAATCTTAAAACAGCTGTTCCGGGGCGGTATTTAATTCTTGCTGACTTTTTTCTGTCAGTCATCTAAAATGACATTTGTAATAATTGAGAAATTGACTTTGTATTGCATAAAGCCTGCTGTGCTTGCAGCGGCGCGTGTTCGTTGATGCCCGTCGATTCTTTTTATCTTTCTTGCATCGATAAGAGACACCTCTCTCATATTAAGTTGTCATTATTTATTAACTTCAGCAAAATCTTTTGTCGTTTCCAGACAATTATTTCATTAAACTTGTTCAATTTCGCTTGAGATAAACAAATACGATGGCTGGTGAAAAAAGTTCTAAGCCTGACTAACTTTCAACTATGGGCCATTCCACAGTGACACAGTGTAGCACATTGTGTGAGTAATTTATTGCAGGTGTATTTGGTCTGTTTACGCAGTTTGTATATTAGTGGCAGCCAGCTGAACGTGGTAGGAGTCGAAATGGACACAGAATTGTAAAAGAACGAATACCAAACAGTCGTCAATTTTTTACTTCAAAGAAAGGTACTCCCCAAGAAATTCATGTCACAAGTGTATGGGGATAGGTGCCCCAGCTATTCCACTGTTGAACGTTGGGCAGCTATGGGTGAGACTGGGAGAACAAGCCTTGATGATGACTGTAGTTCTGGACGTCCCTAAACTTTCATCAATGAAGATTCAATCAAGGAGATAGAAAAAAACGTATACTGTCAGATAGACGTATAACCGTTGCTGAACTTGAGGAAGACACAGGCCTTAGCCATGGATTCTATTATTCATGTATATCTACAGATGAATAATATATCAACTCGTTTGGGTGCCCAAGTTTCTAAATTCTGATCTTAAGGAAACAGAACTGACATTGCCAGAGATAATTTAGAGCTAATTGAGAAGGATTTCGTCTATTCAAAGGGTAATGAAACATGGGTATACCACTAAGATCCCGTCTCTAAACGGCATTCCGTGGAATGGCACCTTTAGATTTCTCCGGCACCAAATAGGTCTTCAAGATCAGTGAAAGAAGTTATGCAAAGGGTGTTATCCTTGTTGATAACTTATAAAGTCAAAAGACGATTATCGGTGGCTACTGTGCTGATTTGCTTCATCGCCTGAGAAATTCTATCAAAGAAAAGCGGCGAGGAATGCTGACTGCTGTAATTCTATTCTTTCATGACAATGCCTCTTTAAAGGCTACCGTGCGATGTGAGTTAGAAGAGCTTCATCACCCTCCATACTCGTCAGACCTGGCACCAAGTGGAAAGCTCTATGACGACAACGATGACCTCAGAGCTGCCGTGAATGTGTTTTTAAGGGTGGCTTCAGAAAACTTCTTCCTGACTGGAATTGAAAAGCTTCAATTTTGATATGAGAGTGTATTGAACAGCAGGGAGATTATGTTGCAAAACAAGATTAAAAACACTTTCGCAATTGTTGGTTTTGTTTGTTAGGCTAAGAAAGTTTTGACCAACTTTCATCAACACAAAGTTTGTTGTATCCCAGGTCTATAACTCTTTTGTAGAATTGCAAATTAAGTCCATGTGCACAATTTGCGAATAAAACGGATCCTTTTTGTGTTTGTGCGTCTTCATTAGCAAGAAGAAGCCATACGCTTTCAACCTGTTACTACGGAATGTGTCAACAGTATGTTCTTTACTGTAAGCTATATTTTACAGTGATAACCGTTATTTGAAAATATGATGTGCTGGAATAACATTTCCGAAATGTATCTCTCCAAATTAAAACAAATGCATTTACAAAACAAGATTAAAAATACATTCGGAAGAAAATTATTCAATTTTCAATGCTTGTCGGAGTCTGTTGAACATAGTTGTGAGTTGATTCATGATCAGCCGTTGTAGCTCTGCTTTTTATTTGAGAGATAACACAACTTACCGCACCCTAATCGTTTGTTAATATGACTATATATAACTATATATATGGCAATAATATGATCTATTTTAGCAGTTGGGAATAGAAATAAACTACCAAAACTCAGGAGTAATCAATGGTTCATTTGCACAATAGTTGAATGAGTGATCAAGGCAGTATGAGAACGATATGACGTACACTCATGCAAAGTTATATCTCTATTGATATTTGAAATTCCGGTTTAATTATATAACACTTACACCCTTTTTTATTTAAGATGCTAACATATGTGAGACATACATGACTTTCCTTCAATATTAACCTGATATAACTGGGATACTGTTGAAAGCGGCGTAAGACCCAACTCACTCACTCACTTTAACAGAATGGGTTGTGTACAGTGGATGTGCTGGACGTTCTGACAAATACACCAATGTGGGTAAAAAAAACCAACTAACTATATATGGAATATTAACGCCCGGTACCATTCTATGTATCTACGAGTGTTAGTTCGGACCGATAAAATCAGGCTAGAAACACAATAATGCATACACACAATAGTTTTAATGCATAGAGAATCATAATGAATTTCCATAGTAGGATAAGATTTCATTGAATTTATGCAGTGGGAAGTTTCGTTCAGCGTTTGAAATATATCGTATATTTTTTATATTGTTTTTCTTACTAGTAGCCACCGGTGCCAGGCAGAATTGATTAATAATTAAGGTTCGTGGAAGTCCGTTGTGTGTTCCTCGTGTAAGTTTAATATTCCATTAACTATTCTTAATACTCTAAATGGGATTTTGCAACGTGTTCTGACATACACATTGCCTTTTATGCATATGCGGAGGAACGTACTGACATTGCACGTGATTGAATTTGGTTGGAAGCTTGTTGGCCTTGGTAACCATTAAAATCTCGTTACCTGTGCCCGGTAATCACGCGCGTTAGAACAAGTCCTACCAGACCATGGGGTTTCGTAGTTGAAAGCAAATAAATACCAATGCGTTCTTTTATGCGTTCTTCTCAATAAAATCATGTGTCTATAAATGTTTAAGATACCTTGTACATAGTAGATGTCCATATACAATCAATAAAACAACTATACATTATTACATAAAGCATCCTGAACTCTTCCTGGCCGTCTCTGTGTTCTAGTGTATAGGGCGTCTGACCGGAGAGCGTGCTTATTAAATTGCGCTAAAAGATGGTACTTGTTGTCACCCTTCTTGGCGCATGGCACTAAGGCGATAAAACAAGAACTGGTTGGCTCGGAGTCAGTGTACTGTGTCTGAGTGGGATATTCATGTTAAACTGAGGCATGGTATCTCAGTGGGTAGCACTGCAAAAACCGACTTTACTCCGGATTAAAACACACACACATATGGGAGCGCGCAACGTATGCAAACACACATGTGGCTATGTAAGTGCAATAATCTTGAATGCGACGTAAAACACATTTCACCTCACCTCCAGCTCACCCTGTCTTACAATTATCTGAATTTCTACTTTGACTAAAATGGTGCATTAAAAACTTTCATATTACGCTGCTTCCTTACATTTGAAACTTCATAGTTGGTGCCAACAGTGACCATGATAGTTTTGCCATGAAAACCAAGTTGAATTCCGAATTGATGCTTCGTGTAAATTTTGTACACGAATATTTGAACTGAACATTTAAACGTAATGTTTTCATTTTTCATGAATTTATCTTCTTTTATGAAGGACACATGATCCGCATTATGAACAACTGATTCAATATCAGGAAAATTGATCCCTATTGAGGACAAACGATTCAATACAAGGACAAATGACTTACATTAACTGTTAAATACGTTTTAACTTCACTGCTTTTGGTTTCGAGGAAGTGACTGCCATGTATTACGGACAAGGTATGTGAGTGTATGTGTGTTGATTGTTTGTTTTTTTGTTTAACACCGCACTCAGCATTATTCCTGCTACATGACGGCGGTCTGTAATTTAACCGTGTCTGGACCATGACAATCATGAAGTGACACCATGAGCCTCAATCTACTCAATTGGGATACGATATCATGCATCAACCAAGTCAGAGAGCTGGACCACCCGATCCACCCTTTAGTTGCCTCGTACAAAATGCATATTGGCCCCTTTGGACAAGCATTGGTTCTAACCTGGATTTTTATGGGTCGTGTGAGTTGTAAAGCGACCATCTTCATTATTTATTAGAGTGGAAACCACTTGGAAGACATGACCTTTCAACAATGATGACGTTGTAATAACTTCAAATGAAACTAAATGTTGCTCCCCCAATGTTTCAGTGCCTAGTACTACTAAGAAACACATAGTAAAATGAATGCTATTGGTGGACTTGGCACTGCCATTTAGTCGCTATTCACCTGATTTACCAGCTGTTTCCAGGAAAGGTTCTTTTGAGTAGTACTATTATGCCAAAGCATGTGTATAATTGTGAATGATTTGTCCTGCACAGTCAGCACAATTCCAGCTATGCCATAATTGAACATATATCGATCACAGCCAGGCAAACCATTGTTTAGTAGTATGAACAATTCAAGGCCCCAGTCCGTCGGGACTTGATTATCCAATGTGAACCAGGCTACCTAATCCACATCATGGGGTGTTTCACCAGTGTTAATATAAATGAGGGTTAAGGGGTAAACGTCTAAGACCTGCATCCCTTCGGTAGTTCCTCCCTCATCAAGCAGACAGACCCAATTCACTGACTCACGCATACAAATGTCCAAGCAACCTTTGACATACATTTCTAAGTATGTATAGCAAATAATAATTAGTATTTTGCACACATGTTATTAATGTTGTCAATATATTTTATGCACAGACTTTTTGAGACACACCCAGACGTCCAGGAGGTGTTCATGCCTTTCAAGGGGAAATCAAAAGAAGACCTCAGTCACAGCGCCCAGCTGAAGGCCCATGCCCTCCGCGTGATGGGTACCGTCGAGAAGTGCCTGGCCAGAATCAATGAGCCCAAAAAGATGGAAGAACTCCTGCACGACCTGGGAGCCAAACACGTCATGTATAATGCTAGGGTTGATTATATAGATGTAAGTATAAGTGTTGTGGAGTCATTTTTATTTTTGGGGGTTGAGATTCGATGGTTGGGTGGTGTGTACGGAGGACCGGGCATTTGTGAGAGAATCGTTTATAAAAACAATTAATCAATTTGCAATGCCACAAAAATTCGGAGAAGCTAGTTCAAAGCAAGATGTGTCCGCAGGAGGGAGGATTCTTCATGCATGCTTTTGTACACAAATTGAATGGCATGTCAATGGTCAAGATTTGTATGTTGATTATGTTTGAGGTTAGTGAAATGGGGTATACTGTGTCGTTCAGGACTATAACACTTACATAGCGACGAAGAAGTGGGGCTACTTGTACTAGTTCGTACTTCGTAGGTACTATTGTGCTTGCTCACTGTACCATACCGCAGTTTTAACACGTATACCCCATATTATACTTACCAGTCCTTGTTTTATATCCTTAATGCAGAACGCGAAGCAGGGTAACAACATAATATGTTTGAGGACTTCATAATGGGAGTGCAATTCAATGCTGATAACAATGTGACCACTGCTTGGCATTTTCTGGGCAGGATTTAGATAATGGTTCCGGGTGTGACACTTGGGATCCGAAGCCACTCCTCCAAGAGTTGGTCCATATTTCGTAGCACACCAGACGTACTAGACGTCCAAGTGTATCCAATTGATGTTATATGTGTTTAGGTCGAGACTGTCAGCTGGCCAAGGCAGTACGTGATGTTCCTATGGTCGGACGTTGTCCTGTTATATTCACACTGACGTCGTGCATAGGGTAAAACGACTGGCCTCAAAACCTCATCACGATAATTAATCCCTTTGAGTCGATTATAAAGACGGATGATGTCTATCCTATACGTGGAGGTGATGCTAGCTTACACAACCACTCAGCCACCACCCTATTGGTAGAGCTGCAAGTAGCTCGTGACACTGGATACTAGGCCCTGTTTTCCCTGAGTCACAAAGGATGTAAAAAACTCATTGTAAACTCGTGTAACCTGCTCTTCAGAAAGTGTTTGTAAACATGAAGTGTCAAATCTGATAGGTCAATACATGACAACTAAATTCAGTATTTCCATTGATTGGTCAGTAAACCAACGTATGACCTCCGGTTTATCGTTTGAACACTATTATTACAATATACAAAGTGATTGTAGAAGTTTCCCAAAAAAAATACATATAAACAAAAACATGTCGACGATGATGAAACGAGATGATCATTCCTTAAAATCAGAGTATATTATATAGCACAACATCTCGGCATATCTGCAAAGCAATGTAAATATATAGATGAGTCTTCGTTTTACCTGATCGACACCTTTTGCAGCTTCTAACAAAGTAAGGCAGTAGAAGGTACTAGACCATGAACGCATGTGTGCTAATTACTTGCAAAATTGTAACTTTCGTAGGTTATTACAGTAACTACAGAAAACACGTACAGAAAAATGTGTGAATTAATATAAATTGAACAAATATATCTTCTATAAATATTGATGAGGATAAATATGTAATAAGGCCTATTCTTTTGTCTACAAATTTCTGATATCAGCTCGTTCGACATAAATATACACATGCAAATGTAGGCAATAGTGAAAAGGTTGGTAAAGCGTCATTTCAGTGTGTATTGTTAAATGCAATGAGATGCAACTCAACTGATCATTCTTCCTCTGCGGCACTGACGTAGAAATATTGCACGTAATGCATTATCCACATCCATCCATGATTTATGGCCGAACCTTTGATTCCATAAGTACATCTAGCTCAAACCAGATGAGAACCATTAATTGTTATCCAGACGCTGTGATCATTCATTGAGTGCATTGTCACGCACGTTCATCGTTACATTCCTCTTTTGGCGACAGATACACCAACCAATGTCTGCACCATGACTAATACATTATACATTAAATGACATTTAAACAAAATCTAGAATATATATTGTACAATGCTCAACATGTAATAATGTTGACGCGTGTGAAATAATTATGTGAATAACTTGAACATTGAACGCGCTACAATTCCACACGGACTGACGATCCATATTTCTTTACCATTGTCAGTTGCATGGTTGATGTAACAATATCATCTTAATTAATATTGAGTGCTTCTGGTTTTGTCCTACGCATGCTCGTGGTAAACGTTACTTTTGACGTCCAGTCAAATGAGGCAGACATGCTGTGATATAACTGAAGTACTGTTCAAAGTGTCATTGAACCCAACTCACTCACTCAACATGACTTTTTAATGTTAAAAGAAGAAGAATGCTTATGCCTACGAATCGTGTCAGTGATATATGCACATTAAAAACAAAATTAATACAAAGATACTGACATTCATTTGTGGAGTATATGGAAGTCATTTTACAAATGTTAATAATTGTATAGCTAGCTACATGTTCATGACATACGGGCTTCAAACTTTCCACTGTTGGATGTTTACAATAGTAACGAGGAAAAGACAACTGTTCGATATTGTTTAAACCAGACATTTTGTTGTAAAATGTACATTATTAGACAATGTAAATTTTATTTTGTCCTTTACAATATTGTACCGTTTGTGAGATTTATTAAGAAGCCATTGATTGGAAGTTCTGAATCTTCTCAATCTACACGGGAATAAAGATATTTTAATAGAACAAGTAGATTGACTTGTTTATATATACTACAGTATAACCTTTGGATAATATAATTCCACACCGGATATGGTAAAACTGTTGATTTACTTATATTCTTAAGAGAGCCCAATGGAATTATAAGAGTGTGAGCATAGGAACTTTGGCTATGAGAGGCAATTCCATTGTTAATTTATCAAAACCTGTTCACTCTTTAATAAAAGAATCGATATGAAACTGTATAAATAGTTCAATGACTGTCTGTCTGTTACTAATTAATGACTGATTAAGGGCCATGTTTATCCCATACTGCTGTAGACGACCGTCCGGAGAGCAGAAGGTCGGCAGTTCGATTCCCGGCCTCGTCGTACCAGAAGACGTTAAAAGATGGTACTTGTTGTTACTCTGTCTGGTGCTCGGCATCCAGGTGCTAAAACAAGTACTGGTCGGAATATCCATATCAAACTGCTGCATGGTAACTTAGTGGGCTAGCACTGTAAATTTGGCATGAGTTCGGACTAGTACAAGCAGCCACACACACACACACACACACACACACACACACGCACGCACGCACGCACGCACGCACGCATGCATGCATGCATGCATGCATGCATGTGGCTATATAAGTGCAATAACGCGACGTTAAACCCCATTTCGGGACACCTCACCATATTGATGTACACTTATATAACAACTACTATGTTATTAGGAAGTTACATTGACATAAATGTGTGTTTGGTTTATGCTTGTTAGTGTTAAACATACTTAATGGGGATTAGTTTTCATCCATTAACAATTACAAGATCTGCATCGTTAAATATCAAAGTCTGAAGCAAAGATGATGAGTGATTGATATTATGAGTAACTAGCCATGCCGTACGTCATCCCGCCATCAATTGCAAGTCACCGAACCTGACCACCCCATTACGTCGCCTCTTACGACTCGCATCGGTTGCTGCTAATGGCCAATCCTAACCTAGAATTCCCACGTGTCCCCAATTTATGCTCTTACGACCAGCAATGAGACGCTTGGGGCACATTCTACCCCTGCCCCCATGGTGTATGAAAGACAGCGCAGTTCAACAGACACATCGTCCTCACAAGTAGCTGGAATAATGCTTTATTTTTACCACTGGTCCAATGTCTATATGTACATTTATTTTCTTCACATACATGCCATGTTTACATGCACAGTTCTGTGTCAATCTTTGGAAAAGGCTAATGGCGGAGGAAGTACGATATTTTTTCCAAAACTAATACTGCAGTTATATATTTTTCAGAAATAGAAAATTCAAGTTTTATGCTTACACTGTACCCAGGCCTTCATTACTGCTTTGACCTCGTCTCAGTGTTTCAGTCATTTTGGAAGAGTTTAAGTTCTATATGATGAGTTCATTTCTTCTCCCAAATCCCAGTCTTTTGCCGATTGAATGAATATAAACATAAGGTTTATCACAATCGATGAAGAAACATGCATTGACTCATGGTTGAAAAGGTGGTGCGTTACTCAACTTTGATATTTAACGATACAGATCTTGTAATTGTCAATGGATAAAAGAACAATTCCGTCAACGTATGTTTAATTGTTATTGAAACAACTGAATCATAAACGAACCATGATGAACACGTGAAGGCTGTAGGGCATTGGCACCAGCTCTCATATCGCCCATACACACGCCTTAAGACACTCATACACACACACAAAGACACACAATCACCCTTACACATCCTCACGCTCACACAAACACGCACCCTCACACACACACACAAACACACACACACACACACACACACACACACACACACACACACACACACACACACACACACACACACACACACACACAAACATACACTCATCCCAACACACTCACACACACATGCACACACACAATCACCCTTAAACACCCTTGTGCTTATACACACACCCTTACATACACACACACGCAAGAACATACAGGCACATACACACACAAACACACAGGTAAAGGAATAGGAAGTCATATATCGTCGAGTTTCTTTTAGTATTATTATTCATTAAAGTATAAACCTCCCAGAAACATGATACATTCAATCGACACAACGGCACACGTTACAGTCAACACAATCACATTCAAAAGATAATTCTGAGATTTGGTAAAATGTTAAAAACCGCACAAAAATACCCCATAGATTTCTCTTTGTCCTTAGGTTGAAAATATTACTATGATATTTTCATATTCCTTGATGCAAATCTTTTGAATACATGTGCATGTAAATATAAATCACATGAAAGTCGTCATTCACCGGATGATGGGATAGGGATCCATCTCTAAGTTGTTATTCATATAGAATATCTTCCTTAATATTACTCCTAGCTGAACACACACCGCACAATTAGATGTCGGTAGACAGG